TCACGATCTTTTTGTGCATCAGTTCACTAAAAACTTGAACAGCTTGGGACAGATGTTGTTTGATATCTCTCGGAATTGTCAAACAATTTTCAAATTTGATAATTTATTTTTGCTTTGTTTCGAGTTATTTTGTTTTTTGTTTTGTTTTGTTTTGTTTTTTTATCATAAAATTATGGATTAAGTTTCACTCTACTTCAATATTTTATAATCTATCGCTCGTATTGGTGTATATTAGAATACTAAAGAACTTTAATTTAGCACCACGAAGGCTGGGACTTCTTCGAGGTCATTTGTTTATGTGTGCACGGTGGGTATGCTACCGAGACCACATCAGATCAGTCTAAATGAAGACCACTTCCAATAACGAAAGGTTCGTTTCCAGCGATGAATAGCTACTGTCATGAAATATATCGGAGATAAAAGATGTCATTCTCAAACGACAGCATGTGTCATTTTACGACCCATTAATCTTCGAATTACTTAAAATGCTTCGGGCGTATTCCCCAGCGTGCAGGCGAAGAAGAATTAATCCAATCAAATGTGTGCAGCTCTCGACAGGTAGCAGGCACCAGCATGATATGTCTGAGAAACAAAATATTTAGGAAGCAACATCTGCTCAAAGTTGAAACCGCAGAATTACCCTCAAGATAAGTCCGCTGTTTATAAGACTAGTGGCATATCCTACCACGGACAGTAGAACATTTAAGGTGCATTTTATTGAAATAAGTCAACCCGTACAAAAGCTCATTAAATGGCTTTGCTAACAATGTTTGCCTTCGTCAAACTTTATGCACAGATCTTCATCTCATTTTGACTATTCGAGAAAAGTAAACTAACAAAAATTTTTTGGGATAAAATTCATTCGATGGCAATGGATCACTACATCTTAGAAACAGGCCTATTTGCATACATGGGCAGAAGACTTTGGACGCCTCTACTCAACTATTCAATGCATTGGTCGTTTTCTCAACAGTTATCTATATTTTAATACTTCAGTTTTCCAAAATGAATGATGTGGTTAATTGCGTTGGCAAGGACCGCGGGTGATCAGATGTTTATAGACGATGGAGTAAGTATAAACGCCGACATCTTTACGAATTTCGTTTTAATGTTGCCAACAAAACTTGAAGGCTAGAATATTCTGGTTATTAAATCACTGAGCTGTTTTTGTGTTTTATTTCTGTGAGTTATTAATAGCCGGATGATTCTGCGTTACTAGATTCTACAATGAATGACAACTGGCTGAATTACCAACAAATAAAAAAAAAACTTCTTGAAAAATAACATTAAAAAGGCAAATTTGTACGGTGGGTCTAGTATCTTCACATCCGATCATGAGCTATTTCGTTATTGCTTTTTTAAAGTTGTTTCTTATTAATCCAAGCCTCCAGAAGTTAACGTATTGTAACGAGAAAAAAGATACCCCACTGAGAAAGAAATAAAATTCATCGGTTTTTAGTTTTCCGATCTTTTAAAAAACTAAAATAACAGATGCTATTATGTCGATATATCACACAATTTAGTGACTAATTACAATATTCGTAAGTAAGAATATTACGGCGTATGTAAGAGGCAGATTGCTGATGGGTGTCTTATCGTCCATCTGATTATGAAATGAGAAGACACTGTGAGCTGAGCGAACTGAGCACTCCTCAATTTAGCTTTTAAACTCTTCCAAAGTGTTATTATGGTAATAAGTAATATTACTGATACTCTAGTCATTAATGCTTCTCGGTAATTCCCGCTGGGCATAAAAATTATAAAATTTGTTTGCCTTTTAAATGAAAGCTACAAAAACACTGCGACGAGCTGGTCTGTGTGAGATAAGGCGCCTTGAGAAATCATCGGCTCAGTTGGCCAAGATCATCACGGTAAGAGGAAATGAAACCGAATAATTAAGAAACTCTGCACACTTAGGGCGCAGAGGGTTTTGCAGTAGACATAGCTATAAGAGAGGAAAAACAAGCACATAAGCTGCGGTTTCCAAGTTAACTCATTTGGCTTGTGTTTTCTCGCTTGGTTTTATTTACAGGTAGTTTTCATTCTTATTTCTTCAGAATATTTACAAGTGAAAGCTACTCAAGATATATGTCAACTAAGACATTTTTTCAAACCACCATCGGTGAAGAAAAATATCATTTGCTTACGCGACTATGGCAGCGTTACATGTCATCCTTGCTACTAGAATTTAATTGATTTTACGTGGTAGCCTTCATTTACAGTGCTACTTGAAGGTTAGGATCAACACTTGTACCCTGTAAAACATTTCTTTTGATAAACCAGTCATATAATGGTGTAACTAGATTTTTGGTACGTTGAACATGAGATTAAAACCGTGACCACCTTGCATGGTGTATTTTAAATTAATAGATGAGAGTGTACTGACACAGGCATACTTAAAAAACAAGGCAATTTAAGAACGATAGCAGATTCCAGAATAAGATTCCACATGTATATCTGCGATGTGAAGCAGTTTGTGCGCGCAGTCGTCTATCAGAAGAAGAAGGTTATGAGTTCTTTAAAGCGACACACCGAAAGGTTCAGTTTTTAATGAAAACACACGGTTGTGTTGCTTAAGAGTCAAAATACCAAAGAACAGGGGACTGAAAATGTTTTCATTGCAAAATTGTTGACGAAATCGTGAATTTTAGTTATTTCATATTCGCTCGCTTTCAAAACCTTTATCTTAATCAGGTTTCATCTTTTCTGTCTCGAGGTCACGTAGCAACAAGATGTTTATCATACAGTAGCAAAGCCAACTTAGCCGCGAATTGAATTCAGCTGGGGGAGGTTGTACTAAAGACATCAATAGAGAAGACATCTCTAATATTATCTCCATCGCTTTCATGGTTTTCCTCCGTCTCCGCGCCTAAGCTTAAAAGATAACGATAAAATGCTCTTTCGCTGCTTGAAAAATCGCTCATCAGGTTTTCCACTCTTAATTTTACTTCGCAAACAGCAGTGTACAAGGACATACTTAATCCTTTTTGCGAGCGACAATAGGGTGTGTTCACATTTCGTTTTTATGTTTTCAGCGCTATCTCTTACATTTTAACTGGCCACTGTAATCGACACTGCGAGTTTTTTTTTTCTGAGATGCTAAATTTGTTTCTCTATCATACCAGAAGTCATCAAAGGAATATATGAATAATTTTCTCTCCTAACAGAAAGATATTTACATCTGAGGTAACGTTAACGTTTTTTTCAAACAAATTATTATATTTAAATGATACCTAGATAAGTTGCAGGAAAAGTATTATCTCCTAATTTACGTTTGTCTATTGCTTGAAACTGTTTTGTGTACTTTAACCCAACATTATCCAGAGCGAAATTGAAAATTAATTACGTGTCTATTATTTTCTCCCATTTGGCTCTTTCTGGAAGTTGCGGTTTGTAAACAGGAATAATGATTTCACAGCACTGTGCGATATGAACGGATTCCCATTCGACAAAAGTGTTAATGAGAACTGGCGGTAAACCTAGCTTTGACCGATCCAACAAACACCATCAGCGAATAATTAGCCTAACGTGCAAGCTTACATAAACGTAGTTGGTTTATGAAATTAATTCATCGACTGCAGGAAACCCCACGGCTTTTCTCAAAAACATGTCGGTGGATTCTTCTGAAACATGTAATTTTCTTGTAGGTCCATTGGAATAGCAAAGCTCTTCAGAATAGAGACGACTTGTGGCCGCAATTGTTTCGCTGTTAACCATCTAAAACAAGATTTTTGTCGCTGGAGCTGATCGAGCCGGATAACCGCAGGTGCGTTTAAATGTTACAAACCTTAACTGTGGAACTCGTGTAGAACCCGCTACGGACGTTAAACATTTCATCGAGCAAAGGAGACTTTTTTTCTTAATTGATATGCTCTCGGCTTATTTCGATTCAAGATTTTTAATTAGGCATGCACTAACTTATTCGCCGACACCAGCAAGTACCAATCCAGCAATATCAAGCAAAGTTACTTCATCTAAATCTTGATTTATTTCTGATATACATGTACCTGCAGATGCTTTACAGTGAGATATCTCTACAATTTAAAAATCATAACCAATAACGTGAGTTTGATATTTGTGTGATAACACAAGCACGTCATATAAAGACAAATTGTATTAAATATTTTATGTTTTACGTTTCATATGTCAAATTTGTCTCAACCGCACAGAGCATGATACATGAATCGAAAACAAAGGACGATTTCATTTTAAGCTGAGAGCTTCCACTTGGATTAACCGTCTGGGTCCATGAATCACCTACAAATCAATAGTTAAGCGGGCGTCAAACAGGATATAAAGCACATCTTTCTGAGTCGGCTGAAATATACAGTTGTAAGTCATGAAATGCGCATTCCTCAATACATGAATCTAAATTCACACAGAAACAATTTTTCGATCGGTAAAGCTGAGAAGAGCATTGTTTTTTCCTTTCTTTTTCTCTTTCCAGTTTTGGTAAACAATTCACTTCAGACAGATGATGAATATGTTGTGGATCAATTTTATCCTTGGTTCAAATTTTATTTTCCTTTGTTTCAAACTCATTATCATACATTACAATGCCCAAAAACAAAAGAAAATAAAATTTGAACTAAGGATAAAATTGAACCATGACATATACACAGTGCGTACTTAACAGGACATGAATTTGAACAATAGTGATCGTCTTTTCAGTCATTATTTTTTACATTTTATTACACTTTCTATCTATTGGAAGAATTCAACATTCTGATCATCAATGTAACTTTGCACATCGGATTCCTGCAAGTTGACAGGACAGCATTCACATCAATTTTCTCTTAAGATTTGAAGGCAAGAGTCATTTTAGTATGAGATCTGCTGGCAGTCTGCCTCTATTTTCATGAACCAGGTTCCTTATTATATTTTGTTAAGCGTAAGGCAAAGGAAGAATTGCAAAAGAATCGAATCAGAATTTGAGAGGAGGCTGATTACTGATGCGAGAATCAATGTGGGATGAAGCATTAAGCTTCAACTCTGATTTCATGTTTCTATTACTCTATAGATCCCGTTGGCAGGGAGTCAGAATGTCTAACAGCTCCAATTACACAAACTCAAGCGTTCCTTTCAGTGTTGGCTCACCTTTCATCGCTGTACAATATCTGGTGACTTGGTGTATAGTGTATTTGATAATCGCCGCTTTAGCAATATGCGGAAACGTGCTCATCATTTTTGTGTTTTCAAAGAAGCGACACTTAAGGACAAGAACCAACTACTTTGTAATTGGTCTGGCATTTGGTGATGTCTTGGTAGGAACTGTAACAATTCCATTGTACGCGACCTTATTAATCTTATTGTTCAATCAAGATTTTAAAGCAGCGGTTCTCGTGAAAACGATATTCAGCCCGATGGATATTCTGTCGGGAATGTTGTCTATTCTTCATTTGATGACCATCAGTGTTGAACGTGTATATGCCATAGCTTTTCCCTTGCGGCATCGCACCTCATCTGCCCGATTCAACTTTATAGTGCTTGGTATTGTTTGGTTAACAGCCGCTGGCATAGCGTCTCTAAACTTCTTCATACCAAAAGGACCCGAGTGGAAGGGTACTTTCCTCATATATTCAACACTTGGCTTTTTTGTGCCATTTTCAGTCATTTTCTTTGCTTACACCTCAATTTGGATCATAGTCAAAAGTAGAACAAAGATACCGAGAAACAGAGCTCGTGTTATGAAAAAGGAAAGCCGCACGGCAATAACCATTTTTGCTTTAATTCTCCTCTTCCTCGTCACGTGGTTGCCATTTTTCAGCCTCAATTTGGTGTTGTTCTCATGTTCGAGTTGCGCAGCCGGTGTGTCACTCCAGGTTGTTTTTTTATTCAAGGCGCTACATTACAGTGGGTCAGCATTAAATCCCTTAGTATACTCAGCGCGCATGCCTGAGTTCCGAAGACCAATCACCATACTTCTCAAAGAAAGAAGGTTGACAGGATCTTTTTATCGTCAATCGACAGACCGATACTCCTTCAGAAGAACCAGTTCTCGGCGTTATGATGTTGAGCTGTCTGACTTGCATGAAGGACAAAGCACTTGTAGTGGAAGTGAAATCCTTGGGATGACCTCAAATGGAAATGACTCAGAAAAGCAATGATTTGATAATACAATAGCGGGAAATGCCTTGATTATAAATAGAAAGATTTGATTTTCTGTTTCCAAAGCTGGACAGATTAAGTAAAGATCCACCATATACAGTGAAATGTCAGTTACCCTTTAATTTCGCCAGAACATTTAAAAAGCAATCTATCTTAATTTGATGTTTCCTTAAAATAGTCAGAAAGAATCAGGGCTCTGCATGGATATTAAACAATATATTTCTCAATGACGCGTAGCCCACAATTAAAATTATTAAGTTGATTCCTCAATTGTGGGAGAAGTGCAGCGGATTGGAAGATAAGAGACTTGTGGGGAGTCAAAGAAAATAAAATACACCAAATATTGTCGCTAAATGGCATCATTAAATATGTTAGTCTGCGTGGAAACAAAGCTCGTTTTATCATTTCATCAGATGGGCTTTTAAACTGATGGGTCTTAACGCATATTCGAGTGGGCTTATAACCAGAATGAAAATATATAAAATCATTTCGAAACGAAATACAGCAACATTTGTGAAAATTTTAGCTAAAAAATTTGCATCAGAATTAAAGCTAACAGCCCGAAAGAAGTTGGAACTCAGCGTAACAAACCGGAGGGCCAGACTTTTCCTTTTAAGTTGATTTTAATGCAGTTATTTAGAATTTCAATGTCAGATATCGTTAAGAAGAACAACGAACGCTAGAGAGAGGGGCCTCTATCAGTGAGGGGAGGTATAAAGAAAGCTTTTCTTTTAGGAGGGAGGGGGAGGCAAACCCTGGTATACGAAAGGCTGATAAGTTTAGGGTATCGTCGTTTGTTTAAAAACGCGGATGTAATGGCCACTGCTGCTATTTCATATATGCTATTCCAGAAATGCAGTTATTCCATTATACTCATTGATCCTGTATGGTATTTTAGCAGCTCTATGAGCGATGCTTCAGCTTTGGATTCCCTACTCTCATCATTTTTTCAAATCCGACGTACGCTGACTTCAACCCTGAAGATCAATGTTAATGTCAGCAAAGCAGCGGTTACCGTGTATTTGTTATATTTCTACTGTATCTTAAAATTCATTATCCTTCAATCCTTTCATTCATCTAAAAACAGAAAAGGTCTTTCACTATTTTTTTTCTATTGAATCTCTAGTGGGGAAGGTATTGTTTTTTTTGATAGTTGTCACTTCATCTGTATAAGAAGACACGAAGAAGTGCGTTTAGCAGGCGACCAAATTTGACCCCCTATGCATTTATGCTAAGAAATCAAAGAGCGCTTGATTACATCTCGTCTGAGCTTCCTATGATAGTTACTACTTAAGAACGGATATGTTATCATCTAAAAACGGTTAGATCAAAGTTTTCGCACGGCATCTTTTGGTAAGATTATTTAACAATTTTAAAAGACTCTGGTAGAATAAAATTACTTAAAGCTTGTTTTGTGGGAATCTCGTCATACATCTTTTCAAGCGCATTTTTTCCAGTTAAATTGAATCTAATCGAGGCAAGCATTTTTCCAAATTGCTTCTTAATTACCACAGAATTGAAATATGTAATAATTTTCATAAAGGTGAAGGTTGTGGACAGTTTACATTGTTGGTAAATGACAGTTGCGGTTGAACAAATACGTTTATTTGCCAATATAAATTGAAAAGGTATCGCAACACAAAGAACAACCCGGCAACGATAAAACTGATTTGCTCTTCTCGCATCGGTCTTTTTTCTCCACTAATTAATAACCTATAACTAAGAAAAATCTACATCTCGATGTTGAATTCCCTTTGGAAGTGATAATACAATCTTTGATAACGTCTATTTCAAGATTTTGATTTACAGCTCTCCATTTCGGAATCATAACAAATTTCTTCGAGCAAATCGGCGATAAAAACGAGAGCCCGTACGCCAGACAGTAGCTTCGCAAATTAGCTCCGGTGGCATCTTGTTAAAAGAGCTAAGTTCTAGATTTCCTTAATCTGCCTCTCTGTTTGCCATAATTGTTTATTTTCTGCAAAGTAAGACAGTGTTTATTACTTCAAGCACAAAAGAAAGCCATGATTCCTTAGTGACAATGAACAGGGTGTGATGTAGGCGAAGGCTACAAATTCAAGTTTCGCTCTTGTTTAGGGAGGCAATGTAAGAATTCTTCATAACCACCTTAAGGTAAGAAAAACATTTTAGCAGTCAACACAGATTTGAACTCAGCTATAAATGACTTATCGGTTAGTTAACGAAAAAAAAATTAAGTGTGGGTATACAATACATAACCTCCTTACCATGTTCTTCAAAGAACGAAAACTGATTTTACGGTCTCTTTTCCCCAGGATATTGACAAATTTCAATCTCGTTAAAGCCCCTTCAATTTATTTGCTGTAACTGTTGTAGAATGTGAATAAATTAATCTTTGAGCACAATCAGTACTCCGGCTGCATTGGACAAACAAGCCTCCACGATTAACACTTTAGGGAAAATATTAGTGAGGATGTGGCTAACTAACAGAAAAAGGAATAACAGAAACTTTTCTTGATTATGGAGATGGGAATGTGAGGGAATGTTATTCATATAAAAATTAATGAATTTTTTTTTTTAAAAAAGTGACATATTTTGCCCGCTTATTGTTTAGAAAAAACAGGAGGACACCAAATAAAGTCAGGTTCAAAACACTCACTTCATTCTTGCCAAAGGCAGTTTATCAAGAAGGAAAGAAATGACGATTTCTACCGAGTTGCCATCCGTTAACTGGTCAAACATCTTCAATACAACTCATTCTTCAGAACCTATCCAGGAACTGATCCGTCTGAGCATCGCCATCAGAATTACATTTTGCATTATATTTTCGATTATTTCAACTGGCGTTGTACTGGGGAACGTTACTGCTGCTTCACTTTTTCTCAGAAAACGGAAATTACATACTCGAGCTGTTTACTTTCTCATGAGTCTCGCCTTTTCTGACATCATAGTGGGTAGTGTTGGAATACCTTCGTTTATCTACATCCTCGCAAATTCAGTGGAGTTTCCTAATTTCGTGTACACTCTATGGAATGCTATTGATGTTTTTGGCGCAACAGCATCTATTTGGTATTTAATGATGATAAGTATAGAAAGGTTTTATGCTGTTGGCTGGCCATTTCTTCATCGCGTATCCTCCAAAAGGCCATATTTCTGTCTTATTGTCCTCGTTTGGAGCATATCAGTAGCACTGAGTTGTATAACTGTGACGGAGGCCTCTAGATGGCCCCATTATACACTGTTTGTTTCCATGGTATCTTTTGTGTTGCCTTTAACAGTAATCCTTTTTGTCTACTTGGCTATGTTTTTTATTGCTTTAAAAAGTGTTAGACTGAATACCCGTCAGACTCAGAGCGCCGAGAAAGACACTCGTCTCGCCAAAGCGATATTATTAATCATTGGTTGTTTCATAGTCGCTTGGGCTCCATTCTTTGGCCTGAATTTTGCATACTGGGCGTGCCATTCATGTGTTGATATTGAATACGAGCTTATTCTTGTGTTCAAGGTACTTCAATACAGTAGTTCGCTTGCAAATCCTATCATATACACCTTAAGGATCCCTGGTTGTTACCAAGCATTCGTGGAGCTGTGTGGCCATTGGTTGAGGTGTCAAAAAACTAATTATTTAGAAAATCCGGAGTATCCTTTAGCTCCAAATGAAGACATAGCTTTAGTTAGATTCCGACACATCGACAACCCTCCCTTTCACTGCTTTTCTTTGCTTGTCAACTCAGCAGATCCCTTGATGAAATCATCGACGTCAGGGAGCAAAGGAAAAACGTCAAGACCTTTTCGCAAGTCTAAAAACTTGACTTTTACATCTATGGTGTAGTCAACGACATTGGGGTGCAGTAGCTCAAAAACAGTATCATTGTAACATTTCCGGTTAAAAGGAACACTTTTGAATTTAAATGTTTTTACAAACAATATTCTCTCCGCAAAACAATAACGGACAATATCAGTGCCAAACTACTACAAGAGGGCAAGTTGCACCAATATTATTTTCCTCGCATGGTATCGCCTGCTCTTCTATATTATCGAAAAGAGAATCAATGGTCTAAATTGGAAACCGTACATTCCTAAAATTGGATGGTTTTGCTGTGTTCAATTAGTAATTCTTTGATATTCCTTAGCTTCAAAGAGTTTTCTTTTATTTCCTGAAAAGGTTTTAAACGATTTTTTAGTTGTTAAGATGTAGTCAGGTAAATCTTTTCAAAGATTGAAAAAAAAACTGTTACAGAGGGTAACAGCCGATTTCGCTACTTGTCGAGTAAGCTACGTTCGGGTTCGCTACATGTTCGGGTTCGCTACATGTTCGGGTTCGCTACATGTTCGCTACTGACAAGCCGAATTCGCTACTTACTTCATCCTACCATTCCATCATTCTACCACCACGATCTTTTAGAAACGAAATCTTGAGGGAAAAATATCTTGTTTTAAAGAAATCTGCCTTACTCAACCTGAAAAGGGCGCCATGTTTTTAGCATATTATCTTAGTTATCATCGAGCCCGCGCATCGCTCACAATGGCGTCGCTATGGGAACTAAGACACCAGGTGCTTTCTCTGTCATTTAATGGCATACCTGGAAAAACGACTGTTAATGGCTAGTAACAATTACAGATATTGCTCGTGGTTTATGGTCAAAAGATAAATTAAAACTGTGAATTAACAGAGGCAGCGAATTCGGCATGTTAGTAGCGAACATGTAGCGAACTCGACGGGTAGCGACCTTATCTTTTTATATGTTAAGGAGGTTCTCAAATGTAGGAACATATTTTTCTGAGACTATGCAACATTAAAACTCTTGATATGCTGATTGGAAGTCAGTAATAAATAATCGGGGGGTCACCTGACTCGTTATTGAGTTACAGGTACATAAAACTAAAATTAAAGTTGGTTATAAGAGACTGTATTGTTGCTATGGTATCCTTAAAGGTAAGCAAATGATCAATACAGGTCGAAAAACAACTGAGCATTTTCTTACACTAGTCTAAAAGCAACGTAAAATTGAGTGGTATTGATCCATCGAAGAATTTGCGATGAACAATTGTGAATCCATTCCGAGCCACCTAATGATTCAGCCAGTTTCATGAGTACAGTTAACGTCGTCGTGTCTACGCTCAGGAATTTTACCCTAACATCTTTTGTACTTGGGAGGTTTAGCAGAATATTATAGTTCTTCTCGCACTTTGCCTTTCAGGTGGACAACTTGAGAATTGTTGTTCAACCATGCGAGCACAAACTAGCCCACGCCTTAAAGTAGCGCAAAGTGGTTTCGTTAACTTGAAATCCCAATTTTCTTGATGGATTGACAATAGAAAATTGTTTTTAATGTTCCCTTTCAAATATACCTGAGGTAAATCCAGCAAATTGTCGCGAACTTTTAATCAGTTTAAAAGACGTCTGTATACGTAGGGTTCAGAGTCATCTTAAATCATCTATATAGGATGGGTCTGATTTGTTTATTATTATTCAGGGTTCACGGAGCCCGTTTTTGTGTTAAAGGCACAAAACTCATCGAAAAAGGTTGTTTTAAGAAGCCTCAGTGTTTTTAAGGTAGCCTTGATTGTTATAAAAATTGATCTCATGATCTCATGTTGAGAAATAATTTGGCACTCCAACCCAATTTTAAGGATAAGAATGAATAAGGATGGCAACTACGATCCATTAAAAAAAACTGCTGGTCAAATATAACGAAGCCATTTAAGAATTGTGTTGAAAATACATATATGAAGCGTTTAATGCTGAAGTGAAAGGCGGTGAATATATTCATAGATCCCCCGATCGCTCTTATGTTTTGCTCGTGTCAGATTTCTCCTTACCACGCTTTTTTATCAATTCTAATTTGGGGTTCAGCCACTGAATTTGTTAAACGAAAGCAAAGCTAAACCTAATGACGATGTTACACGATAAAATAATTCCTTTTACTGTGGAATATAACAAGAAGCTTTCGTCAATAACTAATATTGATGTCTTTTTAAGGAAAGATATTTGGGTGGCTCTCACAAAGCTCGATTTCCTCAAGAGAGGGTTCACCAATTGGAGCAGTGTCATTTGATGAGTTTTGCTTTGATGAATCTATGTTTGAGCTATTTGCTTTATTATCTCCCAGCCGTCTGTCTGCCAAGTACCTATGAATAGTTTTATTTCGAATCGAACCAGGGATTATCGAATACATTATTGCTCTAAAAGTTTCTCCAACGTTGCGCGCCTTTTTGGTAACTTCGCGGCAAGGACAAAGTAAGGCTGAAAAGGCTTTGCGAAAATGAGGAAATTTGTGAGCATACAGAACTGGATTAACAACCGAGTTTCCATACTGGAGAAACTTGACGGCGCAGATTGCTTGCCATGATGGCTGCACCTCCGGTCTGATGTAAGTCACCAAGGAGAGTGTGAAGAAAGGAAGCCAACCAATCATAAATAATGCGATCATCATTATCACTGTCTTAGCAACGCGGACCTCTTTTCGAATACTCCTTCTAAGCTTGTAAAAGTTTTGTATTCTGTTTTTTCGAATAAAAGTTACTAAAAAAGCTTGTGAGACACAGATGATAACTAGTGGAATGAAGAAACAGACAACTATGACCGTAACATTGTATGCCTTCGGTGCTGATGCCATTCCCGGTTTAGAACATACTGCAACTGGGATTGTAACCGACCAAATCAAGGCTAAAATAAGCAAATAACGTCTGCCGGTGTAAATACGATGGCTTAAAGGCCAGACAATAGCACAAAATCTATCCCAGCTTAAGGCAACCAGGTGCAATATTGAACCAATACCTCCTATGATGTCGAATATTACCCAGATATCGTGCAAATATGTAAACCATGTCTCTTTTTTATAAGTTATAAACAGAACAATAATCCACCATGGGATGGAGATCAATCCAACGAAAGTGTCAGTTGCTGCCAATGAAACAATGAAGTAGTTGGTGTGAGATCGTAGAATAGTCTTCTTTGCAAATGATACGATCACAAGAATATTACCAAACAGGATAACAACAGCAACGGCAGAGTACGCAACGGCCCATGGAATGAGAAGCTGATGACTCATCTTCAAGTAACCGTCAGTTTTACCATCATCAGTTAAGGAGAGGTTTGCGGTGTTGTTTGACAGGCAACCTGAAACAAAAGTCATTGTAAGTGAGAAGCAAGCAGTTCTTCAATTTAAGTTAACTCAATAATTCTTGCCTTTCAACAGACTACCGGCCATGCCCAAACTTCATGATCACAAATGTAGATAAGAATATAACAATCCAAGATCGCACGATTTGGTCAGTCTCCAAAGAATGCTGCGAGTCAGGTAACCATCCCCTATTATCCTATGTACAGAATAAGTGAACTCGCGATCGATCAGATGATATTCCTCAACATTTTCCTCAACAGTTGTCTAAGATAATGGACCAAATCAGAGTGGAGATTGTATCATTCTTACTCGGAAACTATTTATTGTGTATTTAACTGTTTTGAAATCCTTCTCCTTAATCATCTTTAAAGTTACTTCTATGTGCATTATGCAAGATGTACTTTGTGTTTCATTTCCACAGTTTCTGTTACGAATACTTTTTGTCTCGTTTTTTATTCTTTAAATCTTATCAAAGGAGCTAAACTCGAGAAAGAAACACTTCAGTAGCAGAACCGGTGTTGATGGATTTTTTCGTGTCTTACATGAGCAGGATGTTGGTACATCTAACTGATCAGAATGATAATTGCCTCAACCAGCGACCATGTAACAAGTGTACGTCATTTCAGCTTCGACTTTCTGCATAAACATTTTCATTTCGCTTTAACGAATGTGCAGTGAATTCCTGATAAAAGGTGCACCCACCTAAACACTTAGCTGACAATCGCAAATACTCAAGCAGGCCTTTGTACTTCAGATAATTTCAAACAGTCACCCTTTCTTATCACCGCCTGTAAATCATTTCTAAAGTGAAATGGAGAGAAAAAGTTTATCGTTATTTTTCAAAGGTTTATCAGAAATCAATCTATGACTGATATCTTGGGAAAAATCATCCAGTAAATTGAGGGGCCAGCGAGGCTACATACAATCCGCAGAAGCAGAGTTCCTTAAATATTCGAGAAAAAACTTATTTAATTTTCCTATGTCTCCAGTTGGTATAAGACGTTTTTATTAGATTGATTATTTCGAGACGTTCTTCGGCTAGTATTTGCGAGCACCAATTCCTTTAAGGGAGTGCGCTAACAACATATGATAACTGGTTTCAGTTTAAATGGATTTTCAATTACCTTATATAAATAGATTGAACTTGAAAAGTTCAGTTCATTCAAATCAAAGCTAAGAACTGCAACTGAACGCCTGAAAATCAACCATGGCTCTGATGGTTCGACTAAATAAGACAATAGCTAATTTGCATGAGGTCTCTTGAGGTGCAACAAAAGTTCTGACGATCAATGATCCGGTATTCAAGAAATTGAGAAAAGTAGCTGATTGAGCTTTGAAAATAAAAAAAATCAAGATACAACCGGCTCTTTGTAAAAATGTATCCTGTATATTGTAACTGAAAAACCCCTTAGTTGGTGTAAAAAATAGATGATAGAGTTCCTGAAACAATTATCTTCTAAGTTATCACTATTGACATCTCGCTAGCTAGCTTCTCCCTTATGTTTCTACTAGTGCCCGACTGCTCGATTAAAAACGATTCCATTGGACATCCAGTTAAACGATCGGATGTGTTAACTTTGGAGCACGCGGTTTGGTTTTTGTCGTAATTATTATTCAGCTGACATTTTACTTCCAGATGGGTGTGCTGAAAGGATTATGTGAGATAAACCGTCAACCTTTCATCCCGGTGATCCGCCTTTTCCTCATGATAATCGGAACAATTATGTCATGAAGTCTAATAAGACACGTCTCCCATGAAAAAATGCCGCGATCGAAGAGCTTCCTGAGCCTACCGATTCAGGCTCATAAGGAAATAGATCTGCAAATAACATAAAAAAATTCTCCTGGCTTTGACCATTGGTTTTCCCCGTGACAGATAAAAGGAAATAATTAACATATTTATTATCGAATGATCCACTTAGTTCCTTAAACTGAAATAAAACAGCATATCCTTTATCCGGCAAGTTTGTCAAGACGAACATAAACATTAGGCCCACAATTGTGTATGCATGGCTCTTATATCGGATTATGACGAGGAATTAAGACACGTTGGCGACAAAAACCCATTGTAAAATAGATCTCTACCTAACACTTTTTAAAGCTGTTAAAATGGTTCGACAACCTCTTCTTGAATTTATGTAAATTATTTACGGTCTTTCTTTACATTGCTTACCCTTACTCTCGCTATTGCATCAACTATTTGAAAACCTAAAAAACAGTCTTCTGGAACTTCTTCGCTATTTCCTTTTGAAGACATAGACAACCATAGATTTTTACAAAGACAATATGCGTGAAATGGCGTTTGCTTCGAACTTTTTTCTTAACCGTAAGAGACAGCATTGTTTTATCTTCTCTGAGGCGAAGATAATTTTTCCTATTAAGTGTAATGTAAAAAGTTGATCAAAATGTTTTTTGAATTTCGCATGGTTTCAAATTTCCCTCTAACAGTTTGTGTATCCTCCTTTCAACAATTAACTTGAAAAAAGTTGTTTTCCTTTTCTAAAAAAGGCTTAAAACACAAGTATTATGCATTATATCTAGGCTTCAGTAACAATTACTGGCCCCGCTTAAGAAAAACACTATATTTACCAATGGATTTTCCGCAAGATTCCATTACGAGGACTCTTTAGCCCTTTCCTCTTCGTGCAAATCTCAGTTCCCAAGGATATGTTTATCTCATAACATGACCAGTGTGGTTTGGTGCCGCTCACTTAGGATGTAGCTGTCAACTGAAACCTTCACAACATCGCAAATATGAAAGGTTTTCATATTAGTGTCTAATCAAGTCACTGGTGAGATCTCATTGTATTGGTCCGCACTTCAGCAAGCTTATGTTATGAGCTCGTTTATTTACACAGGTGAAACTAAAAATGAATATGCCGTCACTATCAGCCAGTAAGTCCTGAAACAAACCGATAAAACCTCATGCTCAAGAAATAACTCGGTAAGCAAAAACGGAACTCTTAATCATCATCTCTGAATCATGAAATAATTTTCCAAAAAAGAATTTTCGACAGTCGAAATAAAAGAAAAATAGAATGGATTGACTGACCCACTTAACGTTAAAAGGTGCTTGAGTAAACAAAAATTGTTTTGGTTCGCATTATATCCAACATACGGTGAACATAAGTACAAGAAAACAATAGAACAGTCCTCTTAATGTTCTCCATATTGTAATTTACATTTGAAAATTTAGCGTCTCACTTGAGACTTTCAAAGCTGAAATTTCGCGTGTCGCAAGACTTCTTACGAAATAAACTCACTGTTATATCAAGAGATCTTGATAGGCAAATGGGAGAAGTTGAGAGGCTCACCATGTTTTCACGTCAAAAGGATCTATAAGTGGACTATTAGTCTTTTTGTTCAATTAATTGTTGCGCAAAATGATATATAAACAGGAACCAGATCCAATACAATTTATTTACGAAATAAATAAAAAAAATAGGAATAGTGATGTCGAAAACTTTCCGTAAACACCTCGGTATGTTATATGTTGGTTTGTTTGTTACTGTAAATTATTGCCAAAAGTTACGAAGAGTAAAGCTTATGCATATTCTATAACACCACATGCATGTGGGTGAAGTGTCGAAAAACACTTATTCATGAGTGGATGTTTTTTAATACGCTGCGATAAAATTTGGGGTTATTATGGAAAAGAAAGGGATACAAATTATCCAGAGTTGAATGTTTATGCAAACGAAAGGGAAAAAAAAGCCGAAAACTAGCCACAATTGAGACAACGGAGATGGGATTGTTCACCTGGAAAAGCACGGACAAACAGAAATATTTATATTAAAACTCCTTGATCATTACATTGATCGTTACCATGGCTACCAGTACCGAGCGGAATGTTCAACACTAGTTCTGCCAAAGTTATTAGTTGAACCTGTATGAGCGGCACCGTATTACGCGGTCACCCTGTATTAAGTGGTCAGAAGTTCTGAATTTGTTTCCCCAAATTTCTGAATTTGTTTCCTCTATTAAGCGGTCACCTCCATCAAGCAGTGGTGATCAGGCTTTACTGAGTGCCAACGGCTTGTTTTTGTTGTCGTCTACCTGTATTGTACAGTCACTGAAAGTAGGAGAATTTAAATAAAACTAAGAACAATCTTTCAAGTAATTTCAATGTATTTTTCTCACCCAAATTCAAAGTAAGTAGTTTTTCCGAGCGAGATTCTGATTAAGAGGTCATTTATGGCACTATGTGGCGTTGTTTATAATTTTTTTTTCTAAAATATCTCTACTCTGAGGAACCTGAATTAAGCTACTCCCCGCGGGTGCCCTCTTAATACGGCTCAACTGTATAAAGGAATATCAAGAATGCTACAATGAGATAATAAAGAAGGTTTTGTATTTCAACGTGTTCTGATTACGATCACCTGAAGCATTATAGCGCAAACGCTCGAAATACTTACAGACGCATACACAAGTCGTATTGTTCGCGGCCAATCCACACTAAAAGATGTTATTGAGCGGTAATTTTGGACTGGATTGAGTCGCGAATTGTGTATCCGTTGTAGTTTCTGGTGATTTCTGCCGTTTTAAGCTTGCTTTACCATCACTGTTATTCACATCATCTACTTTTGTTACGTTGGTAAAATCTGTACAGACATCAAACAAACCAAATAGCGCACAAAGTAAGAAGAGTAGATTGAAGGCTTGAAATTATTTTATGATCGATTTTCATCAAGAAATGGGCCAGGAATTTTCCACAATAGTGCAAATAATCGTGAAGGCTGATCGAGGAAAAGCGATTGCGTGACGCTCGGTAAGCTGTAAGATGACATATTATTATTTACCAGACGTAAAAACTCTTCAGATTCTCAGTCTGCATTTTGTACCCACTCTGCAGTCTCCAGTCTATATTTTGTATCCGGTCTGCTGACTGCATTTTGTACTAACAGGTATCTGTGGCACCAATACAGTTTATTTTTGGTTACATTTATTCGCACAACACACATAATCTACCACAAAATACCTGTGTGTGAGGTAATTCGACATTTTCGTTCTTTTCCGCGTTAATACTCTTCTTTCCTTTTGTAAGAATGTAGACCACAAGTAATCCACCCACCCTACAAAAAATAACTCTTGCATGCATAGCATGCCTATGTTTTGAAATAGGTGTATGCCCTTAGCCAGACTTGAGCTCACTATTTCAGTATACTAATCCGACACCCGTAGTATCACTACACTTGATTCCAAGGATCCAGTACCATCCAGGTATCCCAGTTACCCTGCTCACAGGGTCTAGTTTCAGTTGGTGTTGGAAGATTCAGCCAGTAATCGGAGTGGACCAGTAACATAGAATAGTTCAAGAAGTATTAAGCTCACCTTGCGCATGTATGTTTGAAATGAAATGAAAAACGCGCATCTATTTAAACCAACAAAGCGCAACTTCATGTAAATCTTTGCATAATACGCTGACAGCTGTAAATATATAATTTGCAATGGAACAGACGTATCGAAACTGGAATATTTGAGGAAACACCTCAAAGAAATTGTCGTCAAATAAAACTATGTTGAAAGTTCCAGTTTAAAAGTAATACTTTCATACGACCGATAACCAACCGACGGATTCTTTAAAAGCTCCATCTCCATGATAAAAACGGCAGGCCCTAATACACTTGAGTAACGCATGTAATGTAAAAAGTACCGGGCTCTTTATTCACGAAAAATGAAAAATGACTTTACCTTTGAATTCTATCAAAACTACTAAATTGTGATTGAGGTATAATTCAGCTCTCCGGAGTAACATTCAGTCGTCTTTCATTCCTAAAATTGGCGTTATTGAAAGGTTCAGAAAACTGTAACCAGTTACTAATAACGATTAGACATAGCCTTTATGTGATAGTCTCTTACACTGGACAACACTGTAACAGTCCTAGAGAATCCACTGACGCTTATTTGGCTCTTTTGAATGATTTCACATTTCTGAAATGTGTCAGTGTGAGGCCGTACATCCGCATCTTTCGCCCGAATGAATCGATAGTTAAATGGTAGAGATTTGAAGGTCATCATCGACTAATCCAATTAACATCTTACATCAACTATGCAAACAAACAACTTACTTCACAGCTCCAAAACTTGTATGTCAATTGCACTTTCCAGTCATTAAAACACCACGTTGAGGATGATTATTCGATTCTTCATCTTCGCAGAAAAAACAGCCGGTGTATCGCGACTAATGTTCAGTTGTTATAAGCAGTGAACGATTGATTAAATACTCACAAAGTGAGTCAGTTGTCGTTTCGGATCGATATGTTAGCTTCAGTGAGGCACTCTTCACTATAGTTGTTTTAAACTTTCTCCAATGTTTAAACTACGAATGTTTTGTGCACCGGGTCCTTCGTGTGTCTCATGAATCACACACACTACGTTAATAATAAAGGATTAATTAAACACAAAAACATTTGAACTTACAAGAACTGACCCTGCTATGCAGAACGTGGTTTAAAGAGGACAATCTGTTCTCCTCAAAACCTTCAAAAAAGATCACGACGTACATAAATACGTACCACAATAATCAGCCGATGGAGAATGTTATCTTGTCACTTTCTGGGATTTGATTAATTCTGATCTTCTTAGCAACTTGGTAAAGTATTCACAAGGTTAAATTTTATTCAAAAACACAAATTATAGAATATGCATCACAATACAAGGCTAAACCCTTGATAGTAATTTGACCACATTCATTATCTCCTTCACACACCTCCTATGTGTGTCTTATCATTACAGGTCAAGTACAAGGCCAGCTGCTAATGGCTCCTTGGGTCTCTTGTACAATATGGTATAACAAAGGTTATAAATCGTTCAATCCATTTTAAGTCAATGTATGAAAGCGCTAATTGTCACAGATCCCCGGTTCTATACTTTGCAAGAATATTTAAAAGAGTTTTGTCAAGCTATGTGAACACTCAACTGGAATTTTTTCGATTCTTTTCAGGGGGGATTAACTTCTATCAAAGTTAGCCTTTAAGTGGGTTTCAACTGGTGCTGTGATTCGATTCGGCAAACGAAAACAATCAACTCCCAAAGCCACTTTTCACAATTAATGTGCCAGCTTTCGCGCGGCTAAAGTTCTCCGACGAAGGCCAGGGGCACCACTTAAACGTTAGACTATAAACTTCGCTTCGACAACCTATCTACTTTAATCATCCTCCAGTTGATAAACCAGACGTTTCACTCGAGGTCTATTGAGTTCGGAACTGTCGGAAAGTTTGTTGCAAAGGTTGTTAACTTTCCTCTTTTACGCGAAGCCGCATGGTAAACTTAGGTACCAACAACAAAGATTAGTCAAGGACAAGTACAAACCGAAAAACGGACATGAAGCGGTTGACACGATTAACTGCTCCAACTGCCAAGCCTCCTACATCGGAGAGATTGGCAAGAACGTCAACACAAGGCTAACGGACCACAGGTGAACGGCGAGAAATGGTGACGTCAGCGATCACATTCATGAACTTCATCGACTCAGTAACCGCACCATTGACTGGGACTCTGCGCGATATTGACCTAGAGCCTACCTATTTTTAACGACTAACTGCGGGAGGCTGATTCACTAACTTGGCACAGACTCCCCCTCAACAGACGTCAACAACTAAAGGCATCATGCAAACAACTCATGACGATATCCACACAACAAACGAAACCGAAACCTGAAGCACTCGACTGACAACAATCCTTCACTCGACCCCGACGACTTCCGCTCAGTCTACTACTCTCACCCATACAATCAGACTATATGATCAAATTTTACCACCGGGTCCAAACACTTTACAGCAAAAAGATATGTGTTAATAAACGCTAAACACCAAAAAAAAAAAAAAGAAAAAGACAATAATGTACCCCCAGAGACAGAAATTGGATTGTTTTCTTTGTGTTCAATATAAAATCTAAATTCAAAATAAGCAGAAACAATATTTTAAAAAAATGTTTGTGAAGCATTAACCACCAATACCTACTTCATATATGCTCCGTTTATTGATAAAAGTAATTTCTGTAAAACTAATTTTTTTATTTCATTACATTTGGACAAAAGTCAACGATGATATCATTGCAAAAACAATGAGCTAAACTACAGTAAAAATTTTATAAAAAAACACTTATGTTATTAGCTTAAAATAATTCAGAAATCGACCCTTGGTTAGTGTCTATAAATTCTAAAGTCTAAATTTCACAAATTTGTCTAGATGTCTATTGAATATTGTTGTTATTATGTATATTATGATTTGATCGTTGTTATTTGAACTTAATATATTTCATAGGAATTGTTACTTTGACTTATGATTGGTCCAGGTGTTTCTTTTCAATTTTTTATTCAAACTTTTTTAAAAAAATTAGCATAACCGTCTTTTTCGGGTGAGCGGAATAAAAGAAGCAAAAATTCGTTTTCAATGGTGTAAAATTATTAAATTTGACAGTCCTAGAAATTAATTAAACGTAAAAGGCCTCAGTGTTTGCCTTTTTTAATTGCTACAAAATAAAATTTTAAATTCAGCAGTCTACAAAAATCCATTCACTATTTTCAGAAAAACAGTTCAGTAAAATCACACTGTCTAAGAATTCCATTGACAATAAAATTCAAATTCAGCTTTTGTTTAAAAATGTACTGTCTAAGAATTGTTTAATCCTAAATATCTTAAAAATTGCAGTAAATGAGAGGAGTTTCAACAAAATAGTTTCTAATTACCATAAAAACGCTAAGAAAGGAATATAAAATTTAATGTGGTGTTTCCTCCCTCCAAACAGCATCGCAATGTCAAAGAACAGTGTCAGCGCCTCAGCTGTAGAGTTGGTTCCATCACATATATGGAATGCCAGCAGTGATACCACTTTCAATACCACACTCATCTGTGCCTCGGCGGATGTAAAAGAATCCTATAAAAACGAAACAAACGAACAATCAGCTTGAGAAAAACGAGAATAAAATGTTCGTTCAGAATCACGATGGTGTTATGTCCCAATATTGAGCAACCATATCGCAAATCACGCGAGGCGCCTCTGCGAAATAAGCAGTTGTACACGAACGAATTTGGTATTTTAAAAACATTCTGAACGACCGTATATTTACGAAAAAAAAAAATTTCTGTGAATGCAAGACAGAGCACAACTCGAACTTATTGAAATGATAGCCTTGTTTGTCGCAAAAACATTCTTGGAAATTTGTCGACCGTCGTTGTTTTTTGAGAAACGAATAGAGAAACTAAGAGTTTTGAGGGAGAGGACGCCAACCGCAGGCTATCATGTTTATCATCTCGGGATAAGACTTTTACTAAAAAAGTTTCCCTCAAAACATGGAACGCGACTGAATATGCCCACCTTAAAACTAAAGTGTAACGAAGATATTTTCCAATTTTCAAAGATTATATATGACACGTGTGCATACACGGGCACATGCACATATTTCATGAGAAAAAGCCTACCATCCATTCCCCATCTATCTCCCCAAGAATTGGCACAAATCTACAAAAATAGAGATTAATAATGGTTGAGTGGAACATCGTTAAATGTCGTCTTCTACTGAAACATGCAGTCCAGTCTGGCAGCTCATACTACGGATTCTTCTAAAGCATCCTAAAAAGCGTTGTTAATTGGTTAGCCCTAATATCAGTCCAGTCCTGGTACTAGCACAACTGATCTGTTGAAGCTTCCCTAAATAGTGTTTATATTTGGTGAGCAATACTAATAACTCCATCTAACATTTTATGTTAAGCACCTCCTCCTACTAAAGTTACAACATATCTTGTTCGCAAAAGTCTTCTTGCGTTCCATCATAAATGCTGCAATTGGATTGGCTAGGTAGAATAAAAGGAGTACCCCAACTGCGTGTAGTTATAAGCGTGATAAAATAAAAACACGCGCTTGCCTTGTTGTTGAACTTTGAACGACTAATAGATTTATATTAGAACCATTGGATTATTCGCTCTCGATGTCTCTGATTGATGGTTGATTCTGGCTTCACCCTTGTCAACTATCACGTGATAGAAGTCGTGAGTTCATAATTTTCCTGTTACATGGTAATCAATCCACCACACCGGTACCATGGATAACTTCAAGAATTCCAAACTCAAAATTTGAGTGCTTATAGAATCACCAAGATATTGTGGGCCTTTCTTTCTTTCTACGGTTAAAAAGGGTTTGTAATATTCCAAAAACCTGCCTTATCTCAGTCTAAAGCAATGAAGTGATGAAGCAATGAAAATAATTAAAATAGACTTAATTTTGCTACATTTTGGGTTCTTGCAATTATTTGAGATCACAGAGACTAGTTTTGTGGTCCTGTCTTCATCTTCAATGATTGAAAAAGAAGACAAGACACACAACATTTTTCAATTGTAAGTTTGGGATACCTATGATATAGCAGTGAGGTGAAGGATTATCTAACTTCATGGGACTTACAATGGTCATATAGATGACCACAGAACTAAACTTGGAAGTTTTGGTGAGCTCTGCAGTAAGAATAAAGATAAAAGTAATGCTGCATCCACACATGGGACAGAAAATGAAAAACTGTCCACCATATATATGATCTCATAAACATGTAACTGCAAATCCTTAAAGTATATGTACTATGTTGATTGTAAAGAACGTAATAAAAGAACATTATTGGTTGTTATGGGAAAAAGAAAACAAAGAACAAACGCTCCTACCCAGTAATCAATGCCTTCTGCAGACCGACCCCACCTATAAAGGAATAAGAACTATAATTATTGTCAAGATCACTTTAAAATCAAAATTGTTTTCACTATTATGAAGGATCTAGATCACACAATTTTAGCAATGAACCACGGTAATTAAAATCACCTCACAAAAAAAAAATTGAAGCCCACTAAATTTTAGAAAACCTCTACAGAAACAGAGCATATGAAATAGCAAAATTTGACACAACAAAATAATACAGCTTACAAAAAGAGGAAAACAGAAAAATTTGAAGTCATTACCAAAACTTATGAAAATATAACCTTGAAAATCTAACAACCTGGACTCTTCATGTAAGATACATGTTATCATATAACATATAAAATAAAAGTAGATTGAAAGTGATCAAAATGTTGTAATACATTTAAAGGTTACTTAAAAACTGAGTCCTGAAAAAGTAAAAGGATCAAAGCAAACAAGTTGTGTATAAAAGAAAAAGAACAAACCCCAGCATCTTGATTGCATGACCACCAACTATGGTGCCAGTGGTGTGTATATAAACACCAGACTTATAAGAGAAAAAGTCTGAGTACACTGAGAAAGATGCTGTAACATAGAGTAAAACCAAATATCAGTTAAATAGAATAGTTTATTGCCTTAATGTGAAGTTTAAGATTAGTAAAAACAGAGTGGAGAAAAAAACATACTTTAAAATCAATTTTTATAGGTGAAGGTAAAGTTCACAAAAGCTATGATCTAATGGAAAGTCTTGTCTGTTAAAATAATTTTTGGATATAGTCTTCTAAGATATCATAAAATAAAACTACATGTACTTTTTAAATTACCTTCAACTGGCCCATTTGTCATGATTTCAGACTGAATGGCTTCAACCTTTAGAGACAAGTAGAGAGTTTTTTAAAAACCTTAATTGAACAGTCAATTGGCAGATTTGCAATTTTAATTGGATACAACCTGCAGTTAAGTCAAGGCTTATTCTGCGAGTCTGCTTGGAAATCACTTAAAAATTACATACCTCACTGGCTATTGGGCTTACATTTGTGTCTGATGTACAGAAACAAAAATTGATTTTACCCAGAGTTAAATGGCACCAAAATGTTTTAGCTGCCTTTCAGAGCATATATCTTTCCATTACGCAAGCCCTTAACTTCTTACCAGGGAGGTAGAAAAACAGAAATTCTCCATCATTCAATTTCACAACATTAGAAGTTACTGATGCTTTCAATGTTGATGACTGTGTTCATTTTATGCATAAACTGTGTTGCTTGGTCCTATTGCACCATTACCAACAATCAATCAAGTCTAAATAAGCATTTTTCAGAGACTTCAGGAGATCAAATACACTTCAACTAATCATTAACAATCACCCCTCACCAGAAAGGCATAGCAAATCATCCAAATTTAACTTGCTGGCTTGGATGCTTCCAGGCCCATCCACACTAAGGCAAAGATCTAGAGTTTTATATACCACTTACTTCTCCTTGCACAGCATATGCATTGGCTGCCTTGTAAACTTGAAACACACCCTGACCACTGGGACACTGTGAAGGTGTGCCATTGAACTTGCAAGGTTCATCCTCTGCCTGATACGGACCATAACATTCCACAGTCAGGAGGCTGGGTGTAAAAAAAAAGAAAGATTATCTCACATGCTTTGCACCTTCAAATTTGTTTTTGGTGTCTACTGTGCCCAAGGGAACATAGACTGCTTATTGTGCCCACAAGTCTGTCTATGGATATTTCCATCATACGTGCAAAACATCTTAAGCATGGTTTAGACCATATTGACAATAGAATACAGATAATATTGCAAATTGGCAAAGGTGCTCAGATAAATATACTTTTAAGGGCAACAAGCCATCTTACATTTCAGGATTTATGGGCCTTGTTTTTAAACCTTGTTGATTCAGAATTTATAATTGATAGCCAAAAAAACACAATATTACCAATTAACTGTATTCTGGAATGATTAAAACCTCCCCTTGATTTTTTCAAAAGCAGAAAAGGAAAGACAAATACTGTGCTCCGGTAATTGGCTTCTCAAATGCCAATTTCTGCTCAGAAAAAGGTGACATTCCAACGAAAAGAGAAAAACATATGCTTTAGGAGAATATACTAAAAAAACAGAGAAAAAGAAACAAACAAACAAAAACAAAGATCTTCCAACTGCCTAGAGTCAATCACTTTACCTTTTGCTTGCAGGGCGAAGCACAATCCATTGCACCAAGAAAATGCAATGTGAGACTGACAATGTGCTTTCTAGGAGTGCACCAAAAGTTTCAAAATATGAAGTCAAGTCACTGGACTCAATATTTCACCCCTTCATAATTCATTTTCCAAGTTCAGAGCTGATCCATTAAATTATTTTGCATACAGGTTGTGAGCCTTACACTTAACCTGTAACATGCCTGACTGCCAACCAGTGCACCAAAAATATCACACCAAATGAGCACTGAAGTTAAAAACCCACAACCTGTAGTATAATTCTGTGGGCTATCTTTTTTTAAACCAAGATTAATTTGACATAAAATTTATACTCATCATTCTTAAGTTTAATATGTATTAGAACAGACTTGAATAAAGCAAACAGGATTCAAAAAGTGGAAACTGGGAGTTATAGCTAACATTCAGTTTCAGGTCAATCAACCAATGGCTGAGTCAGAAATAATGACAATTTACTAATCAAATTATGAGAATGAATTCCAGTTAGTTTATACTCTGCTTAACTTAACATATCTTCCACTCATCCCTACTTCATTATCAATAGGGAGTGTCAAATTTGAATGTAAAAAAAGTTTCTTCTGATTTCAAATGTGGTTTCATAATTATTGAATTACACTCACCCAACTTGATTCATATACTGCCATGCTTTTATAGGATAGCCACCTGAACAACCAAAGTTATCTGTATCACAGTCAACCAGCTGTTGTGCTGACAACACCACATCAATTTTATTACCACTGGCAATAGCAAATCTGTCTGACAACGCTTCTATGGAGCAAAAATGTTGCAGTTTAGGTTAGATACCAAGATCTCCCCTGTAAGTAATAGATTTAATTTAATAACACATTTATTACAAAACAATAAAATATCATTGCAAAAAAAATTAAGTACCAAGTTTTGTGATACAAGAGCATTTACCCTTCTGTCTTCCATCTTTGTGTTAAAGTTCAGAGTTTTGCATCATTTTGCAGTGGTTAGTGTGGTTTCATTCCTTTTGTTTGACTTCAGATTTTCTGGAATATGGCTTCTACAGTTTTCTAGCAGATTTATTTTAAGTTAATGTCTGAGACATGACCTCTGAAGTCATGGTGTCATGGCATCTAGTGCAAGCAACTGATTTTTATGGCTTTGGATATATATGGATAAACATACCTATTTCTTTTTTTTTTCTACACAAACTGTATTATAATTGAAATCATTTATTTCTCAAGAATAAAAAAGATAAGTTTCTCATGTAAGGTTTGTCTTGTAGTAAGAGAGATATTCTGACTGCTTTGCTTTCAAATTTGATCTGATCTATTGTTTAATTCATTGCCACAGTAGTTGCAGTTGGGCAACCCCAAAAGCCAGAACAACCAAATGACCGAATGGCAGAAAATCCCCCCAAATCCTAAAGGACGAAACAGCCAAACATTACCCCAAATGCTAAAATATTAAATGGCAGAAAATTCCTCAAAATCCTTGAAGATGAAACTATAAATAGTGCACATATCCCACCCAAAACTGTATTTTCCTTTGTTGCATCATAGTTTATTCTGGTTGTGTATCTAAGTCTGTGAGATCTTTCCTTACCCTCTTTTTACCCTCATGAGTATAGCTTCTTTGGAAATGAAATCAATATCTGCAAAATTATCTTTGCTCTTAATGTGTAACATCATGCTATTGGCTGTCCAGTTTGTTTGAGATGATTTTCTGTGGTTGTCAAGGTGTTAAAAGTGGGTTGATAAGCTGAAATGACTCTTGGTTATTTTTAAAGTACATGACCCTTCAATCTTAAGTGAAACTATTGCAAGCTCTCAATAAATCTCCCAAATAAAGTCAAGGCTGCCTCTCAGTAGTTTGCCAGCTGCTCAATAAAATCTTTTTAAGGCTGGTCTCTGATGGGTTATATTGTGTGACAAAAGGCAATATGGTTAGTCGCATTTTGTTTTTCTCCTGGAGTGTTGTTTTCCTGATAGTGAAACCAACCTCTGTGACAATTCTTTAAACTAGATCATTTGGATAGCCCCTTTGGTGTAATTGTGAGTTGGAGTGTCTGATGTTCTCTTCAAAGATTATTTCTAAGATCTCTGCAGTCCTCTCCTTCAATAAATCATTTTTTCATGCCTCGAGTGTGACAGGAAGTGAATGAGGAACTTTATGAGTTTGAAATTTGTCAAGGATAGATTTCTCTTAGAATTGTTTGCCTTTAAAAATTTCCTCTAATATATCTGCTATTGGCTAAAGAGTGTAGTCTATTAATTACTTCTGTTGCCTGGTTGACATAATACAAGTTTTTGTTAACAGTTCCTATCCCTCAACCCTTTCCCTTGTACCAAAGGAAATGACTGTATTTATAGTTCTGTCTCATAGGATTTGGGGTGATTTTCTGCCACTTTCTCTTTTTGGATTTGGGGTATTTTTCCACCACTCTATCGTTTGAGATTTGGGTGATTTTTGGCCACTCTGTTCTTTAGGATTTGTGGTGATTTTCCACTATTCTGTCTTAGAGGTTTGGGCTGATTTTCGGCTGCTCTGTCTTTTAGGATTTGAGGTGATTTTCCACCATTTTGTCTTTTAGTTCTGGGGTGATTATCTGCCATTTTATCTTTTAGGATTCGGGATAATGTACCACTGTTCTGCAATTCTGTCATTCTGCAGTTCCAGCAGTTAAAGTTGCCTGTTAAATATTACAACGTTCTGTTTGTCCTTCTAAACCTATATTTGTAAGTATCCTCTTCTGCTAAAAAGTGCTTGCTTCAGATTGTCCTTTCTTAGTCTGATGTGCTGCATTTGTCGGAAATTGAAGAGAAGCGAACTTAAAAACAGGATTTAGAAATGTGTTTGTTTACATTTTAGCATCTGTGAATCTCAGTGGCAATGGTAGTAACATATAATTTAGCTTGATGAAGGCCTTGGAGGGCACTCAATGCAACTCCTTGTTCAGTCTGAAATTGTTAGCATGAGCACATCTTAATGTTGAGAGAAATTGATTGGATAGGAATGCATCAACAAAGGTTGCTATTGTTGCTGTTTAGTTGGAGACTGGATCACAGCAAGAGAGTCCATGTGTTTTGTTATGAAGTAGTTAACCTTCATAAAATAATGGTGTTTGTGTGGATAACAAAGGAGGAATTTTCTCTGAAAAGTTCCCTGTGAATTTGCAGGAGGAACAAACTTACTCTAGAAATTGAGCTTTCTCGCATCCCAGTGAACTGATACACAAAATTCAGACAAAGATGTCAAAATGTCACACAAATTTTGTGTTAGACCAAAACTCCTTTAAAAGCTAGGAATTTTGTTCAACAGGTGTTTGCATAACTTTTTTAACTATACTGTATGTAAAATTTGACCAGTAAATACACCAAACTATACAATGTGGTCCACACTAGATTTGGTGAATAGTTAATTTTCAGAAATACCAGCCTCTGGGAATCTGATATCACACTGACCAAGAGATGCTTGATTTTGGATTTATTGTATATATAACCACATGAATTTGTAACCTAACCCATTCAATGCGGTCTCTTCCAACAAAACTGAAACTGGAGAATTTCCAGAAAATTATAACTCTCAATGAGGTTCAAACTCATGCCTCTCAGTTACTAATTACAACTGGTTGCTGTAACCAACCAGCCACAAAGCCACATGTTTGCAGTAACGAAAATGTTGGCAGGTTTTTCATTCCCTGTTAGTTGACCTTCTCTCTATAAGAGAATACATACCCCTCTGTATCCTTAACCAAGAGATAAAGCAAACTTTTTTAGAAAAAGGAAACTGGGAGATTTGTTGTATATTTGGGTGACTCCCAAATAAACAAAGTGAGTAAGCACACATTAAATTAATCCCAGTAACATGTACAGCTGTAGTATAATTTCTTCAATCTTATAATTGTAAAGCATGTTACTTTACAGTTCACACTAAATGTTATAGTTTTACAGATATACTGATTATTGCCGCTTATCAGCCAAGATTTGAGGAATGTTTTAACTCAGCTCCAAACAGCCAGTATGAATTAATGGAGAATACATTTTTTTCAGGTTCACATTGCATCTATCTTTACTTTTGTAAAATGGACTATATCAACTCACTTTATTATGCATGATATTACTCCTAGAGATGTGAGCTTTCCTAATCCAAAATGCAATATTCTAATGCCATTCAAAATCAAAATGGCAAGTTGTGGGGAATCACATGGACTAAAAATCCAAGTAGTCAGTCTAGCTGTAGGTTTAATTGTAAATTTATCCCAACTAAAATTGTAGTTAAGGTAGACCCACCTGAAGCTCCAAATGCCCAACAACTTCCACATTTACCCTGTTCAGTTGAATATGAAAGTTTAATTTGAAAGAAGTAAGTAGTTGTAAGTAATTGTAATGAATCAAAGTATTTTATATAAGTATTGCAGGCACAAAAAATAGATCTTGAATTCCATTGCAATACATTTTCCTTATCTCCATTCAAAAACACCTTTACTGAATCTTATAGTTACCTGATTCCTTATCGGGTGAATGGAGCCAGGCCACTTTGTACGTGCATCAAAGCTTCCAGGAATATCACTGACAATGTCTTCTTTGATGACCTTGGGAGGAGAGTCTTTGGGCCATCCACCATAACTCCCTAACATTTGCTTTGCTTCCTTCCAGTTCATTTCTGCAAACTGCTTATAAACAGTAGCATGCCAACTGGATATAAAATAGACAGCTTATATCAGTACAAACAATCTTACTCTTGCAAACCTAGGAGGTCTGCAATCATCGTGTCATTCATACATACTTTATATAATTGGCCCTATCTCATTTTGGCTGACACGAAAACATTTCAGGAGAGATCCTTTGAGTCCCTGTGCATAGCATCCAATCTTGCTTTACCCACAATCGGCACTCAGAAGTTGTTAAGAACCTAGAAGTGTAAATGTTTTGTTCTACAAATTTAAATTGTTTATTTAAATAGGTATGGTGAATGTAAATTGCACTTCAGTAAAGTGACTGAAAGACTCTTATAGCCTACAACCACAATTTTCTTAGAAAAGATAAAATGTAAAACAGCAGTTGAGACTGAAAATAAATTGGGGGACACCAATGAGAGTCAATTGTTCCAAGAAATCACATGGAGTAATGCAGGTCATGTGGTATCATGTGATGGGCACATTTAGCCTCATGGAAGACATGAAAACCTAAGACTGATAACAAAGCTAGTTAAAACAACTATACGCAGATGAAAAAAAAGAAGGAATGTTTGCATAGTATTTAGAGAAAATATTGAATAAAGAATGGGAATAGAAAGTAAGATCTTCATATTACTGACTGAGTGGTTGGCCAAGAAAGCTGGAAATTCATTAAGTTTTTTGTGGCATTTCTCTTGATCAAGATTGTGTCAAACCATTTATAGGAGAAATCCCAAAACCTAATGGGTCTGGATAAATGAAATTAACAAAAAAATATTCCCAAAAGCTGTTCACAAGAGTAGTACCATGAATATGAAAGCGATCTTCGCAGTAATGAACACTACTTAAGCAGTAGTGAAAATAAGGCCAGAAAAAATTCAGGCTAGTACAGGATTTGAACCCATGACCTCTGCGATGCAGTAGAGCACTGCACTAGTATCGCAGAGGTCATAGGTTCAAATCCTGTACAAGTCTGAATTTTTCTCAGGCCTTATTTTCACTACTGCTCAAGTAGTGTTCATTACTGCGAAGATCGCTTTCATATTCATGGTACTACTCTTGTGATCGCTTTCATTACGTCTCTATCCGCAGTTTCAATATATGACTTTCATATATTCACATTCGTTTAAAAGGAGTACCATCTTCTCAATTATGAAACATTAATTGAATCACACATTCCACTTCTGAAAGAAAGAGAACATCAGTATTTAAGTGACATAAACCGTTGATATGCCAATTTTAAGACGAAAGAAATTAAAAGACCAATTTTCTATTTTCTGATTTCAGCAGTAAATTCACCTTTTCCGTTCCTGTTGCCTCCTTTTTCACCGAATATGATACAAAATGACATTACGTTTCTGAATAGGCAGAATTCTTGACACATACCCCACATTTAACGAGTTGATCTTCTCAACCATCTCTGGGGAAGAAACATGGAGCTCTTCTGTACTCCCTAAATCGCTGCTAGCGAACACCAGCAAAAGAAAACTGATAATCAGATGATGATCCATTCTTCTTCGTCACCTCCAGGAAATGTAACAAACTTGTTCCAACGCGCGAATAAAACTACCAAGAGTGAAACTCCTGAGTGTCACGAGATGAGGAAGTGAAACCGCGCGAATAAAACTACCAAGAGTGAAACTCCTGAGTGTCACGAGATGAGGAAGTGAAACCGCGCGAATAAAACTACCAAGAGTGAAACTCCTGAGTGTCACGAGATGAGGAAGTGAAACCGCACACCACACCACATATTTGGCACCTTCAGCGAGTGTGTTTTAGTACCCTACCGGACTGTTGACCCATTCCTTACCTGGCGCAAATTTCAAAACAGCCTGTGTACAGCCAATCTGGAGCCCAGGGTCATTTTGACTCCTTTTCAGCGGTATGGCCTCGACATATCTAGATTGTCGGTATGGGCACACGGTCTGCTACGCCAGCGGAAGAAGGAAAGAACTAAAATTATGTAAAATAACGACTCATCGTAACTAATCGAAGATGTAATTTAAAAACCAGAAGAAAATACCGAGATTTTTCCTCTGCACCTTCCGATGCTCCTGGAAGTTTGGAAGTGAAAGAAAAAAGGATCATTGAAGGCCTTTTACGTTGCTTTTTCGTTATTTTCAGGTTCCCGCGCGAGGTGAAACGATTGCAGGCTTTGAGCAAGCATGGGCGCAGCAGTTTCATGTAATTACTCGGGCTTTCCAAAGGAAACGCTCGAGTTGCAATTCCGGCGTCGTTTTTTTTTTTCTTTTTTCGTTCGGTCGCAAATCGCAGTCAAGTCCTCATCACGTATGCGAAGCCTTTTGATTTTTAATGCATGCGCGGCGTTTTGAGTAATGAACAAATGGCATGGTGTAATGGCGGATGATGAGAAGCTTTCGCGGTGCAAAATCAGCATAGACACTGTGTATAATACGCTCAAAACGCATACAAAATATGTACACATCGTTCGCGGTAGACCCGCGCTAAAAGATGTCGAGCGTTTTCGGAACGGGTCGGTCCGCGAACCTTATGAGAGATCTCTTTATGAGCGGACATTTATGAGTGAACCTTTCATCGAGAAACGCGCTATATCAACTGAGCTATCTAATGTTAGTCGAGAGAAGCATAGACTTAAATCTCATCGCGTATGTAGACCTGATCGTGAACCCAGCAGAATACCAATACGAAGTTTGAAAAGGTTAAGGAACGAGCATTAAGGTTAAGAAATTTGTCTATGCACGTATTCTCTCATGTATCCCCATGTCATCTTCATTGTACTGTCATGTTAATGCTAAAAACACTATTATATAAAAGGACGTTTAAGTTTACCTGTCTTGAAAGGATTCGTCAAAGTATAAGAAAGGTAAGATATCGTGCCAGTCGATATTTAACATTGTTTTCTTGTAACAAACTGATGTGTTCTTGCGAGAATGAGGCTCGTGTAGCAAATTATTGCAACTATATTAAAATTGTGAAAAAAACCACATACAGTCAAGGAAACGAGTTAGTTTTTGGAAAGAATGCAGGACAACAATTACCAACAGCATTAAGTGTGTTTGATACTGATTATCAACTGGAATACAGTGAAAGCTACTCTGGTACTGTTCACCAAGAAATTGCTATAGAAGGATATCAGTACTTTACGTCTTTACAAAGGGCCTTTGAGTCACTCATATCCAAAAGCTACACCAATTTCTTATTGACAGTAGGGTGTATTACTGTTGCAACCTATTGTAATAGTAACGTGGGGTTCAAAATATTTGATTCTCATGCTAGAGTTTTGTATTCTTGTTGGATGACAATTTCTTCTATTATACCCTTGAAATATCATTGTAATTAGTAGATATAAAGTCCTATGAAAAAATATTACAATCTTGCAGTACGTCTTTTTCCTCACTGCTCATATACAGAATGAAAAAACTTGGATAATTTTCATATGCAAATGAAAATTTGTAATTATTGTAATTAGTAGACTCTGGATTTTTTGTACATGATCAATTGCTATGAACTAAACAGTCATTTTTTATTCGTGGGTGAATGAAAATAATGGTTTTGATTAGAGTGATTTCAATAAGCTTGGGTATTGCTGATGAATTACATTAATGTTATTAGATGCTAATTGCTTTGTGACCTTTTGTTTCTTTACATATTTTAGAGTGATATTCATTTGCCCATGAAATAAAGAAATGACCATTTAGTTTGTAGGAGTTCATAAAGAACAAAAGAAAACAAAAAATTAACAATACACTGCTAACGATTAGTTACCCTATTTTTTCAAAGAAAATGAAAAATACTCCAAACACTAACAGTTAGTTTGCACTCACAAGGTATAGTGAAACCACTCTAACCAATAAACCAAAATGTATTAACTAAAGAATACTAGCCCAGTAACTCCAAATGGAAACAAACAAATTGGAAGGTAATAGTACAAAATATGCTAAAATGTATTTCACACATTCATGAGAACCACTCCAACAACCTCATAAAATTAATAGTTCATCTGGTAATAACCTTTGGTAGTGACTTATTGTTTTCTTTTGGTTAAAAGTCATCACCCTAGCACTTGGGGCTGTTTGTAATTAAAAGCTATCTCGACCTGAAACTTTTGTCAACCAAGAAAAAGAAAACATAAGAAGACAGCCTGTCTGGCAAAAGACTTGCCCTGCTACAACCCTTAACCCGCAAAACAAAATTTAACTAATTCAATACTTAAAAAAAAAAAAAAAAAAAAAAAATTAAAATAGTGTCTAGTTATAAGTATTGAAATAATAGCCAATTATATATGGCACTACCTGCTCCCACCCCACCAGAAAAGGGTCTTTACACTAAAGAAAAAATTGCCGTTTTCAGCTCAGCATACATGTGTCAGAAACCTGCATCTCTTGCATACCAAGAGAAAAAACAGTTACAGGAGAAATCAATAATTGCATAAAAAAAAACTTAGGCAAATGCAGGCACAAAAAGCAAAGTTTACTTTCAATAGAAAGCCTGGGTGAATGCAAATATGCATCTAGTTTAAAAGAATTGGGCCTAGAGGAAATTAACAGGAACAACAGCAAACTCTAGAGGTGATTGGTTTAGATTACAGAGAAGTCCTCCTGCCTCTGCTCCTGATGCAAAAGCTGATGATTCTACAGGTGACTGCACTTGAGCTGGGATGACTACAAAGAAAAACAGCAATTTTTTTAAAATTATTATGAAAACACCTATTTATTTGAAACTCTTATAAAAACACCCATTTATTTGTTACTAACATACGACATACCTTAGACAACTTTCCCAACTTTTCCTTGATCTACTTAACAATGAAAACATGCCAAACGAGTTTCTTTTGACATTGCTTTGATGTTTTGCTGTCATTTTAATGTACTTTTTTATTCTCTCAAGTGAGAATGAAATTATTTTACAGCTATTGTACGATTTACTTGTTCCAAAATAACTTTAGGAAGCAAAAATAAAAGTTGCAAATTTTTGAGACTATTACTTGACCTTAAGTTCACTGAAAACATATGCATATGAATCAAATACCCACATCTCTTTTAAAAATCAAGAGAAGACAGAAGCAATGATGTAGTTTGAACCTTGAAAACATCACAAGCTTTGAGTTTGCTCTAGCATGTTTCTTTTACATGATTCAGTTTGCTAAATCAAGCTACAGGTTGGTTGTATTTTTATGAAGAAAGAAAACGTATGGAAGGTTCACATTTTGCGGTTTTTAAGCTTGTCACATAAAACAACCAAACCCCAGCTTGACTTAGCTTGATTTAGATTTTTCTTCCTAAAGTTATTTTGGAACAAGTAAATAGTACAATAGTTGTTAAATAATTAAATTCTAAAATAATAACAAAGTACGTTAAAATGACAGAAAAATATCAAAGCAGTGATAAAGAAACTTGTTTGGCATGTTTTCGTTGCTAAGTAGATCAAGGAAAAGTTAGGAAAGTTGTCTAAGGTATATGTTGTGTTAGGAGCGAATAAATAGGTGTTTTCATAATAATTTTAAAATATTTCTGTTTTTCTTTGTAGTCATCCCGGCTCAGGTGCAGTCACCTGTACAATCATCAGCTTTTGCGTCAGAAGTAGAAGCAGAATGACTTCTCTGGAATCTAAACCATGTTCCTTTTTAATTTCCTCCAGGCCCAATTCTCTTAAAGTAGATGAAATTGTTGCACCTCTGAAACTGCTCAATTAGTCACGATGAGTCCTAAGTTCACCTACACAAAGATAAATTAAGCACTAACTTAACAATATAGATATGCGCCCTACCAGAGGTCTATTTGCCCATTTGGCCTTGGGGAATTATAATCTACTCAATACATGTTATGTCCTATAAGAAACCTGCTCGAGATTGCCTCCTTTCCTTAAAAGAAAATCGGGAAGGGGCGGAGGATAGGGGGGGCTGTACGCAGGCCAAACAACATGATGGCCGTGAAAAATACTGTGAGGTGGAAGGACTTTCCTTGCTGGTTATTGATCAAAAGGAAGCAATGTGAGATGAAGTCAAGTTTGATTTCTTTTAGAAAATAAAATCACTTATCGGTCTTCTCAGATTCTTCTTAGGTCAACCACCCCTCCCCTCCTCATCCTGCTTCCTGTTTTTGCAGTGACGTGACAGGAGAGTATGTATTAAGACAACTTGGCTTTATCATAATGGTCGAGTGGGCCCCGTTGAGGATTCCGATCAAAAGACGAATCCAGACTCTGGTGGTGATGATTCAAGTGTACATGTTTCTATTTGGTCATATATTTGGGACCGTTTTACTTGTGGTTCTTCTATTTATTCCTTATACCACTTTTGTTGCTGTTGTTTACGTTGGTTGGGCATTCATCTTAAATGTTCGGACCCCAAGTCGCGGAGGACGCACAATAAAAGTTGCTCGAAGGTGGAAAATGTGGAAATATTTCTGCGAATACTTCCCCATCAGGTTGGTTAAAACTGCGGATCTAGACCCTGAAGGAAACTACATATTTGGTTATCACCCTCACGGAATTATTGGTCTCGGTGCACTTGGTAATTTCTGCGGAGAAGCAACAGGCTTCTCAGTAAATTTTCCAGGGATCCATCCACATCTATTGACGCTCTCGGTGAATTTTAGGTTCCCTTTTAGCAGAGACTATTGCATGGCTTTTGGTGTTTGTTCAGTTGATAAAGACAGTATAGAGTACATTCTGCAAAAGATGGGCCCAGGTCATTCAGTCGCCATTGTAGTAGGAGGTGCAGCGGAATCATTAGAGGCAAGGCCCGGAAACTTTACGCTAACGCTGAAACACAGGAAAGGTTTCGTGAAGCTGGCCTTACGTTCAGGGTACGTATTCGTTTTTAATTCTGGCCAGAAGAAGTGTTCTTATGTAAAATTAGTACTTGGATAACTGATATCTGTGTGATCTTTGCCAACCACATAGTGTTCAATAACTGAGGGGTTTGAACGTGCATATGAAATCTTAGCGAAGTGTTGTTTTTTTGGAGTGAACAAGTAATAATGTCCATATCGTTAGACATTGAATGTTGCTAGCACCAATCAAATTACAGTATGTTCATTTCACTAATCAAATCACAGCAGGTGGGTTTGTTGCTTACACCAATCAGATTATGGCGTTAAGGTTGGATGCATTCCGCATGAGTACAAACTAATTTCATTCAAGGTTTGTTGACAAAGTTTTAAAATTGGGTTGTTAATCAACATGCTGAAATGTTTGTGGTTTGTCTGTTTGTTGCATGTTCAAAAGTCAAGTACAGAGTGTTTTTTTTCTTTTCCAATTTGCTTTGGGGTCACTCATTTGGCAAAGGTTGAAAAGATTGGTATTTTATAGTTAACTGTATTTCTGTTTTTACTACCCTATTCATTAGCCATTTCTTTTCTTTTGGAAGTTCTGTAAGTTTTATTCTTGTGTTCAAATTGTATTTTTCCACCACCTTGCTGTTGTTATTGGCTCTTTTGGTTATTTTTCCCTTTATCAAATTATTCTCTGCAGCAAACTAAGTTTATCTCATTTCTCCACCCCGCTATTTAAGCATTTCCCAAGCAATCTTAATGTACTTAATATATTTATTTACAAAAATTTGCTTCAGCTAACTCAGAGTTTGGATTAGCATGTTTCTGTTCTTTGCAATCAACATTCAGTTCATCAAGGAATTTAACCACAGAGTGCAAAGCTAGATAGACAATAGTCCATCACTGAGCACACATCCTTATACCCACAATGCACCACACAAAGTAGTCTGTGTCACAGGCCTTATGGTTTGGGGACAATAAACCTTCCCTAGCGGCCAATTCACTGTTCCTAGCTCTCTACGGGGCTTCTTTTGCCCAATATTTTCCCTCCTGAAATGCCTGAAATGTGTAAAGAAAGTAATCCTAATAATGGCACTTCTGTTCATGAAACTCACACATAATTTTCATCAATCATTTTAATTATAACTTAAATTTAAACAATATTTTCATGATGCTACAGTCAAAGGGAACTTTTTGTTTCATCTTGGCATTTCAGAGCATCTCTAGTGCCTGTATTTTCCTTTGGTGAAAACAACCTCTATGATCAAGTGAGTAACCCCCCTGGATCTGCTTTGCGTCAGTGGCAAACTAAGATGAAAGATCTGATGGGTTTTGCACCTCCACTTTTTCATGGTCGAGGGGTATTTCAGTACACTTTTGGATTACTTCCTCACAGACAACCCATTCACACTGTCTGTAAGTAAATAATAAGACAGATCATCAAATAGTTAACATACTAACCTTATTTCACTGGATATCTCAATAACATATTCTATTAATGCAAATTTTTTTGATACATTCACATTAGTGTTCAGTTTGTTTATATTCTACAGCTTTGTTATTGCATTCTCTGTTTTTGTGCATTCATGGTGACTAAAAAATTTTGATACTTAGTCTGCAGACTTGATATTGAATGCTGACTGCAGAAAATTGTTAAAGATCCCATGATTTCATAATTAAATAGAAGCATGTCATAAATCAAGTCATGATGCTATTATCCCACTGTAGAGTTTGCTGTCAGTACTGACTTTATGTATTACTGGTATTTCATTTTTTTAGTTGGTGCACCGATCAAAGTAAAAAAAACTCAAAGTCCTTCACCAGAAGAGATAGATAAAATTCACCAACAGTACATAACAGCATTAGAGGAGCTCTTTGAAAAACACAAGAAAAACTATGGCATCTGTGAAAACAAACATTTGCAAATTTGCTGAGTCAAGTTTTTCATCATTATACTCAATGACTATGTTTTAAAAGTTAGTAAATTTTGAGGTCTACAGTTTTATAAGTGTAAAAATCAATGAAGTACATTAGTCATTCTATATTCCTAGTCACATAAAATCTTTTTCATATATAGTAAATCTTTTCATGACCAAACTGGGTCAGTCAAGATGGTTGGATGTCAGTGTCATTCCCTTTTTTTCCTTTCTAAGGACCTTCTCTTCATCTGGGTTAAAAAAACAACTAATATACAGTCATCTTGACTTTACGTGTGGTCAATAACGCATGTATATTGTTCAATTTGTTTCACTATTATGTGTGAACAGTAAGTTTGCTTAGGTGTTTTGGAAGTATTGCCTTTTGAAGCAGGCTATTTTAACTTCTAGACATTGTGAGTTTAATGTGAAATGATTTGTCAAGTAGACATAGGACATTAGGAGCTCCACTTACAGGGCAATAAAATACCTCCTCAACAAAGTCATTGTCGTGAAGTAAGTCAAACTTATTTGTATTAGTTAAAGGACTTTCTTTAGTCTTCATTAGATGTGTGGTTGCTGTGTTGCTGAACATGCATTGAGATTACCCAGAAATAATGAATGTGGCTAAGTGAGCAAAATATGTTATATAAATTTACAACACTCTTACCTGCATCTCTCTACATATACTGAAAAGTATGTTAATTCTATTTTCTTACTTGAAAAACAGGAAGCAATATGTGAGGTTAAAGATTTAACAGTTTAATTTATTGCTAATAGTTTATTGTGAAATAAGGAGACAATGCCAAGTTCTGAAAATGTTGTAATGAGTTGTAAGAAAAGCTGTAATACTTTCACTACATTTACAATTATTTATTGTGGAAATAAAAGGGCCTTCAAGACTAATACAGAAATGTATTGATCACTGAGAAACAAAGAGCAATGAAAATCACCCAAAAAATGTCTTAATTTGAATTAAAAAAAACAACTTACAAAGACTGAAAGAAAAAGGTGACCCTTTCTTGACCCAAAGAAAGTTGTTTGCCTTACAAGATCTGTACATCTTTTTGTATATATCAATAAGTATAATAATGATGATAACATTACCTCTTTAGTGCATATACATTCTTATCTACCTTGAGCTCCATAGTCAAAGTTTTTAAGTGTTGAAGGTAATATGAGTGTCGAATGAGTGAATTAGTTTCAAAGTCTTCTTTCTTAGTTCTAAGAAATCTACCTCATTTGTGACTGATACAACAAGTAAAAGGGCTTTATGTCATTTGGAGTCAGGGTAAATTATATTTGCTTATGATGTTGAAACAAATTTAAAATTATATACCATCATGATGATCATTGCTAAGATTAGCTATGTGGGCAATTACCGACCTCAAAATTTACTGTCTTTCTTACTTAATTTTCAAGCTTGACACTCTTGACTTTGTTGATACTATAGCAGTGCAAAGGACACGTCACATATGAACCTGGTAATGGCAATGCAGCAGCAAAACGACTGCACATGCTTGTAACACTTGAAATTTTTGCTCAAAAAGGAATGGGATTGACAATATTTCCATAGTAACACTGTAGTGGCAACATGGCAGCATTATTGAAATTCATAGTTTGTTTTTATTTTGTGGGGATAGGCCCCAGCATCAACAGATAAGGTTCCCATTTTCAAGAAGTTTCTTTCAACATATCTTTCCCAGCAAAAAAATTTTTTGGCTACAATTGTGAATTTTAGTAATGAAGTTGAGCATTTGTGTTATTGCAGTGACATGGCAGCATTAATAAAATTCATAGTTTGTTTTTATTTTGTGGGGATAAGCCCCAGCATCAACAGATAAGGTTCCCATTTTCAAGAAAGTTTCTTTCAACATATCTTTCCCAACAAAAAATTTGTTGGTGACAATTGTGAATTTTAGTAATAAAGTTGAACATTGTGTTATAGCATTTGTTTTTATTGCCTCTTCAGAAGGCAAACCGTTTGGTGAAAAGGTTTGTTGTCTAGACAAAAAACATACCATAGCTCTACTTGTGGAGGAAGAATTATTACCTTAAACACTAAAATGGGAGAATAGGGAAATGTTGTGTGTGAATTTCATCATCAGCAGTTATGAAAAAGGAGCAACATCTGTTTGTACCTGCTACCTTCACATTCTTCCACCCTAAGTAATACACCCATTCCCTTGAGACTGTACAAACTGTATGATGAAGCTGGAAACAGCAAGGCTTGTTATCAACCAGGGATATGGTGTGCACAATTAAGTTGTCAGAGAAACGATAAAAAAACATTTGCCATGAAGACCACTTTTAAATAGCCAGTCAGGAGAAAAACATTAGATACAATCAAAGGCTGTCATCTCCTACTGCATATTCTAGGTTTAAATACTTCATTTGTGTACATAATAAACAAAATAAATGATGACGTAATTCTCACCTTGTTTGCATGAGAAGATCAACAACTTAAACAAAAATATTCATGGAAAATGGAGATGGAGTGCCTTGCAAAATTCCGTCGGGGTGCCAGGCAGACTTGACAGATGGTCAGAGTGATTAACAAGCTAGCACAGTTAAATGTGTGCTTCAAAAGTCTCTGCTCTACCACAATTCAATGGCCTAACAGAGAGAGGCGAGACTTTACATTTCAGACTGGTCAACCTAATTTATCAATAACATTAATGGTAAGTACCATACTTATGCCTTGACATAATGTAAGAAAGGTAACCAATCCATCACATTGCTACTAATCATAGTTATGCTATGATTGCACCTGCAAGGTCAAATATCTCTAGGACAACATCCATCAAGTAACAACATACTACTGATAAAGGTCCTGCACTGCTCATATTTTACAAGTAAACACATGCTCATTGTTGAAAATATTTCTATATAACTCAGAGTCTGATCTAATACATTATTATGTAATTTTGCAGAGTTGGCAGAAGAATTTCAGTCAGCCTTGCACAGGCACTATGAGAGTGGGGGTCAATCTCTATACAGATCTGATGATATGCAGGCACATCTCCTTTACATCCTCATGAGTACAACAGTGCATGCAAATGGACATGCAACTAGTTAGAGACATTCAAATATACAGCAGCTAAGAATAGTTACACTACTTTATATATTTTCTAACTGTGGGGATTTACTTCAAACCTCAATGTACCTGCTTCAAGTTCTGCCATTCAAAGAATAACAATTTATTATATTTTAATGATTTACGAAATTTCTATCTCAGCTTTATTCTGAGAGTGTCAGCAGTCACTTAAACAAAACTTCATTTGATCTTGAGTATGATAGCGGGAATAATATGAATTTTCCCCTAGATCCCAAAAAAAATCACATCTCCAAAAATAGGCTGAAACGTTCTAGGTCTGCACAGAATGCAGGGAGAATCTTAGGCTTTAGCACTGAAATATGTATGAATGACATGGTTAAACAGTAGCAGGCAAAACAACTAGGTATAAGGAAGTTGCGGACGAAACTGTGCTTACAGCCTGCAAGATAACGAAGAACAAATACAATGAACAATAAACATGAACAGTATGTAACAATATGCAGGAAGCGTGTCATATGAACTTCGTAATAGGCCTTGCTCACCGTAGAGTCTCTGTGGCTCAGTATCCAAAGGTGTGTCTCAGGTTCGATTCCTCATGGGGACTCAGAATTTTTTTCTTTGTCCCATGCTCTTGACAAGACGAAAAACATCTTTCTTAAACATAAACATTTTTGAAAAACATAAGCAATCAACCAAATTAATATGTTTAAACATAAACATTTTTGAAAAACATAAGCAATCAACCAAATTAATATGTTTTTTTCAAACGTACGAGCGTCGAAGAATTTGTCATACATACCGAAAAAGAGAATGGATTTGTTATCCATTCAATTCGCGAGGCCACACAGAAGAAATGATTTTTTTAAGAATTTCTCCAAATTATAGACGAGCTGTAAAAAAAAGGATTGGCGTAAAGAAGTAAAATTGTATTTCAAGACTACATAAAGTAATCAATTCAAAGAGGACGATAGGAAATGTGCCAATCACTGTAGGATCTTTGCGCCGAGCGATGCTGGTGATACTGACTTTCACAGTCACAACGTGAAGTGTGAGTATTGTGAGAAGCTAAAGAGTGTTCTTGAAGAGGTAAGAGGTGCTTTTTAAGAGTACACAATGCAATTGGGTAAGGTTCAAGCAGAAGACCATCTGTATGAAGCAAAAAATGCTGCCGCTAAGATCTTTGAATGGAAAGGGCATATCCTGAGAGCAGAGAACCAGAATCAGTGCAAGCGGCAAATTCTTCATTCTTTGAAGGGAGATGAGGCATTTATAGTAGTTGACTGGGCAATGAAGTTCATAGCGATGAAGTTCCGGTAAAAGCAAGCCGATTGGTTTGCTTAGAGGGGAATCAATTGGCATGTGAGTTGCGTTGTTGTAAGACAGGAGGAAAGCCTTGAAGTAACCTGCTACGTACACCTTCTTAACAGCCGTAAACAAGATTGGTTTTCAGCGCTGTCAGTCCTTGAAAATCTCTTTGTCACCATGAATTTAAGATTAGATGAACCAGGTTGCCATCACAACAGTACGCTGGTATCATCCTTACGAGAGTTCAGACATCGCCAGGGAATCGAACTCGTGATGTACGAAAGCAATGATGGCTTGACGTTAGTTCCTATTAAACCCGTACGAATCTCACTGATCGACACAACAAATATCGCCCCAATTTCTTTCTGTTAAACGCCTCCTTTAAAATGTCGTATTTGACCGTGAAGCTAAAAATAATTGATTCACAAAATTAGGGACAAGAAATTAGCTATAGAAACACTTAAATTAAACTTACATTGTTGCCGGATCTGGCGATTGACACAAAAAGACCTTTCCTTCCTTCGGTAAAAACGATCCAGTTTCTTTCTATTAAACCACGTTTGATCGAATTATTGAATTGCACAATAGATCCGTTCTGTTTGGAAATGCGATACCACTTACGGAACGCGTGACGAGGCACCTAGTTTTACAGATTATTAATTAAACGATTACTAAATCAAAACAAGGGATAAACCCGTGCCTTAGGGGCACTTACAGTTCCTATCAATGTCCTGAGCCTGGTTGCGATGAAGATTTTAAGATTTTATGAACTTGCTAGCCTGTTCATCATGTAAGTCCTGTGCCTGCGTGCATGACTGAAAGTCTCTTTGACAAAGTGAAGAGGGAGTCGGTTCATCAATTTCAGTCATTATCATTAGGGTGAAAGTTCGACTGAACTGGTTGCAGTGGCCACAGAACCCTTGACAAGTGCTTTACAGCTTCCCATCGAATGGGCTCTTCATAAGAGAGGTGCAAGTGTACAGCTTTCGCAAAACGTCTGGCAGTACTTGACACAGAAATTTAACATTGGACGAGCCACTGACAGAAGACAAGACCCAGAGCAAGCAATAAAGGACATGCGAACTGCTTGCACCATAGATAGAGAGAGAATAGAAAGAATGTTCGATGGAACTGAGTGGTTATCCAACATACAGATTCAGGGTTTCTTCTCGCGATTGTGCCTTAAAAAGCGATCTAAAATCTAACAAGAAACGGATGATACCACAGACGCAGACGACCAAGACGACGATCTGATAGAGGCACCCGCGTCTAATGTAGACAAAGAGTGTTCGAGAGAGGCCAGGAACACAGTAATGGGTGAGATAGGAATGAAACACCCAATCATGTTTGATGTCTATGATGTGTGCTCGTTGGCAAGAGAGGGAAGGTTGCCTAGCCTCAAAGTCAAGATACTAAGAGACATGTGCAAACATTTTGGGCTTGCATTTTGAATGCGAGATACAAAGGTAGCACTTCTTGCAAAAATGGAGGAAATTATTTCGGAATGGAGTTGCTATGCAGTCTAATTATGACGTCCACCCGTTATGCGAATCAATGTGGTCTAAAAGCTCTGTCCAACTATCTTTTCAACTTAAAATGGTTAAAATCTAAGATTTATTGAGCTACTTATATAAAACGGTCGGAGTTTGCTCAATGAATAATTTGCATAATCGGCTGTCACGCTAGGCAAAATTAATAAGTGCAAGATGTTTTTATATTTTTTTGCAGCCAAACATCTTATTAGAAGAAATCTAGCGGAGTTTTCAATGGTTGGGTCTGAACTTGAGCAATATCAACCAAGAAAGAAAGAGTACTTTTGACTAATTTCAGAGAGCTGCCTAATGAGTGTTTTTAAATAAATTATGACGAACCACTGAAAAAACGAATATATGATAAATGTTACAGAAACCGCATTTGTCCCTCTCTGACACAAGCTAAATTTACATGAAAGTAAACACCCTGTTCCTTCCCTACTCTCAGAATTCCTGTTTTGTCTTGCCAGGAACGACACTCTCTGTGCGTAATAGCAATGTCATCTGGAGGAGGAAAGAGGCCACCGTCTGCCATGCGTGCGAACCGTCTTGCTACATCCTGTGCAAGTTGTCAGGCGGGGATGATCGGAAAGGAAGACGAGAGAATGGATTGACACTTCCACCACTAACTTCATGTTGTCCATTTCTTCGAATAATCGTTAGTTTGACAGGTTGTTGGACATCCGCAGTACTTTGCAGCCTGTCCACGTGTTCAGTTACAAAGCTTTCTGCCCTCTTAGACTTTTTGCCTCTCTTCCTTTGGTGAGGCTTTTTTCCTGCGTTGCCAACGTCAAGGCCGTAAGTGGACATTTTTGGTCACATTTGTCTGCATAGCATTTTTCTTGTGCCATTGTAGAAGACCGAGAAGCTGTTAAATGATAAAATTACAATTATAGTTAATTTATAATATCGTAAGGGTTTTCTGTATTGGTGTTAGAAGGAAAAGAAATGGGAATATTATATTATTCTAAGTCATTTAAAGTAAATTATAAAAAGGGCAGGTTGATTGCTTCGTACGCCTTCTTGGTGGTCTTATCTTAAAGGTTGAGTCTAACCACGTTCTTCTTGTGAGTTTGGCCACGTTCACCTAGTGAGTTTAATCACGTTTTTCTTCGTTGTGATCGTGAGGTTGACATGGAACTCGTGATAGGCCATGCTCTTAAATAAGTTAATTTGTTAGTCCAGGAAGAGTAAATCTCCCTGGTAATATGTCGCGTTCGACACCTTCGTGTTCCCAGAGGTAATTTAAGGGTAAACAGGTGATGTCCCTCATGTTTTCGCAACAAGAAGCAATTTGGGGGCGGTACTTGTGAGCGCCCTTCTTCTTTAACTCTTGTGACCAAGATGTTGTTATGAAACAATCCTTAAAGGTGATTTGCTCTTAAAAATACACTTTCAGGTATAAGTAATACCCTACACCAAGGTTATTTGTAATTTTTATATTGTCGATCTCGTTTCTGTTCTGGCCGATCTCAACCGTAAAGATATGAAAATTAGGAAAGAAATTGATTTTGTAACTGCGTAGACAACCCTGAGTGCTTACTCAGTGTGTGGGAACTATAATACGTAGTCAAGCGTGATTCGCTGGTTGAGATGGTACGATGGCGACACAAGAAGATTGACGGCTTAGAAATGTCATCCGCAGTGACACCTTTATAAGCGGTGACTCTAGTTTTCCTAGTTAGATTGAAGCTAGTCCCTACTGTAACAACTTAAAGAGAGAAGCAAATAAAGAAAGTTCCACCAGTCCACAACTAGTGTTAGAGAAAATAATTCTAACAAAGCTTACCCTTGTGTTCCGCGGCTGCCAATGTGTGAGCGCAGAGGCTTGAGTGGTTGAAAGCTGGACACATATCATCGCAACCGAATTTCCCGTTCTTGTATTCTGTCACCACATGTGGTTTTGGCGACGTTTCCGATGCTACCAGTACAGTGTTGTCGTGTTGGAAGCCATCTTTAACTCTTTTCATTTGCAGCAGCCTCCGTGCTTTGGCAAAGTGATTGGACAAAATACTCTCTGGGATGCAAGTAATGTCAGACGGTTTATACGATATTGACAATGTAGATGGTGTTTACGACAGTGGGTCACTCTCCTTGGCCTTGTTGGTGTAAGCCCTCCTCTCGGCGGGGTTCATTTTTCTCCACCTTTCTGGGGATATCTTGAGGTGGCTGTGCTCATTTGTCAGTCTGCATTCACCCTGATCTAGAATTGCTCCTTCCAACAGTGCATCCTGTTCCTTTACAAGCTCGTGGCTTTTGGAAATGACGGTTACCAAACTGAAACGCTTGTACTGAGTCTTCAGCTTTAGAAGGTGGTTTTCTGCTTCGTTGTCATTAATGGAATACAACGAGTCTCCTAGTCCAGCCTTCTGGCGGAGGGGCTTGAGCATAGAAGTTATGATCGTGTCAGCGACATTTCCCACAAACCAGTCATAGAGTGCTGGTTCTTGGTTGGTGATTCCCCTTTCGTGGTCACTCCAAACTTTTTCCAGAGAGCATAATGTTTCGTAAATCTCATCTGCTTCATTGGAAACTACAATTCCGTGGTATGAGGTGGCAGCGACACTTTTTCCAAATATGTCACAAAGGAATTAATTTTGATCCCTTCCATGGATACCCAGACCAGATATCTTCATCTCGATGTTCTTTCGAAGATGGATAACGCATCTATGATGGTCAGCCTCCGGAAACTCTTCTCTAAATGCGTTGGATAAGGCACGTTCGCTATCCGCCCCAAACGCCTTGAGTTGCACAGTGTGTGGATTGAACCGCTTCATCGCTGAACCTAGATACCTGTAATATACATACATACAAATACTTTATTTAAGCTCGAAATTCAGTGTAGCCGTACAGCTAATATCTTCGAGAAAAAAACTAAAATGAAATAAAAATATGCTATCTTACAATTTCAATATTATTTATAAACTATATACAACTAAAAGCTAAGAGGGAAAACTAAGAGGGAAACATAACTTGTAAATCTGCTGTGGAAAAGCTTCATATCTAAGGATCTCCAGCTTGAATTCTAGAAAATTTAATGTTCTGTAAGTGTCTGGGAGAGAGTTCCATATTTTGCTAGCTAAGTATGAAAAAGAGTGCAAACCGTATGTCGTTGTTTTTGGGTTGGGAAGGGACATGATATGATTTCCGCGCAAATTGTAGGATGAAGACCGTACGGTGAACA